CCCCGGGGGCGCGCATGGCTCGGGCGCTGCCGGGGCCGGGCGAGGAGCCCGACCCCGGCCCCGGCGGCTCGGGACGCGGGGGAAAGAGAGCTCCCTGCGGACGGCGGCGCTAGCGGGGGGGCCGGGGCGGCAGAGCCCTCCCCCCTGGCGCCGAGGTGCGCTCGGCGGCATGTGCTGAAGTGCCCCGCAGAAGCCGCACAAGTTGCCTGCGCGCCGTGACCCGGCAGCCGGACGGCGGGGAGCGCCCGCCGCCTCTTGCCTGACCCGACCCGACCTCGTCCCGTTCCGCTCCCCGAGGGCTGCTCCCCCGCGGGGCTCCCGGCGGCCAGGGTGATGCGGCTCGTTGGGAAGTGAGAGACCGTGCGTCCCACGCGGGCCGAGGGCCCCCCTGCCTCGGAGTCTCCCATGCTTTCGGGGCCCCCTCGGGTGCCCGCGGCCCCGCGGGAGGCGGGGGCGGCGCTGCCGTGATGGCCCTGGAGGAGAAGCGGGAGAAGCGTCCGCCCGTCACCCCCATGATGATCGAAGAGGAGGCCGCCTTGCGGAACGGCAGCCGGGGGCTGCCGCCGGGACCCTGGGCCGACGCGGCGGGGCCGAGACCCCGCACCACGGAGCGGCACATCGCCGTGCACAAGCGCCTGGTGCTGGGCTTCGCTGTCTCCATCCTAGCGCTGCTGGCGGTGACCATGATCGCCGTGCTGCTCAGCGTCCGCTTCGAGGAGTGCGGCGCCGCCGCTGACGGTCCGCCGCGGGCCGGCGGCAACGGGAGCCTCTCGGGGGTAGCCCGGCAGCCGCCCGGTGCGGGGCAACCCCTCGACCGGCCGGAGGAGGAGGCGCGGGGCGGGGAAGCGGCGGAGGAAGAGGAGGAGGAGGAGGAGGAGGAGTGGCAGCCGCGGCGGGAGCTGCCGCCCTGGGCTCGGCCGCGGCTGCCGCGGCACCTGCGGCCGCTGCACTACAACCTGATGCTGAGCGCCTTCATGGAGAACTTCACCTTCAGCGGGGAGGTGAACGTGCAGCTGGAGGTGCGTAACGCCAGCCGCTACATCGTGCTGCACGCCCACCGCATGCACATCGAGGCGGTCCGCGTGGCCGAGGACAAGCTGGCCGGCGGTGTGCGGGTGGCCCGCACCTTCTTCTACCCCCAGACCCAGGTGTTCGTCGTGGTCCTCAACCGCAGCCTGGAGGTGCAGAGAAGTTACAACCTTAAGATCATCTACAACGCCCTCATCGAGAACGAGCTGCTGGGCTTCTTCCGCAGCTCCTACGTCCTCCACGGCGAGCGCAGGTAGCGGACGGGCCGCGTCGCCTCAAACCCAACTCGGTCCGAAGTTGGCGGCCCCCGCACCAACTTCGCGTAGGGCGGCGCTAGGACCCGGCGGCCGCGGCGCCGCCAGGCGGGTGATGCCGCGGGCTCCGCGCTGCCCGGCCCCGCTGCCGAAGGGTGCGGGGCTCGGCCGGCTGCCCGGGCAGGGGGCTACGGCGGGGGGAACGGCCGCCAAGGCCGGTGGCTGGTGAGCGCAGGCCAGGCCTCGCATCCCCCGCCCCCTCTCTCTGGTCATCTCCGCAGGGCTCGGCTGTCAGAGCGGAGATGCGGAGGTTCTCGGGGACGGCGAGCCTTTGCCCGCTCCAAGCGACCGGCCGGTGTTGTGAGACAGCCGTGAGAGCGGCTGGAGGGCGGCCGAGGCTGAGGGACTGCGCGGGGGCGGGCGGAGCTGCTGCGGGGCGGTGCGGGCCGGGGTTAGCCGGGGCCGGGGTTAGCGGGGGCCGCCGGCAGGTGAGCGGAGCGCCCCGCCTGCACGGCCTGCCTGCGCGGGAGGGCTGCGGGAGTGGCCGCGGGTCGGGAGATGCCCCAGCGCAGCTTGAGGACGGACGGTGGCAAGGAGCAAACTTGCAAGGGGGCCACCAGTGAAGCAGACCGTCCGCTAGGTCCTTGTCAGGGCAGAGGCTCCGTGTCTGTTTCACACCGTGTCTGTTTCACACGGCTGCCGTGTGCCCTCGTATGACAGAGCCTTGTCAAGTTACAAATAGCAGCGAGACTTCTGTTTTGTTTTGGTTTTTTTTTTTTTTTTTTTTTTCACACGGCTGCCGTGTGCCCTCGTATGACAGAGCCTTGTCAAGTTAGAAATAGCAGCGAGACTTGTGTTTTGCTTCTTTTCTGTTCGGCAAAGCAAAAACCATGGTGGGATGCGTTTTCACATGAGGTGAATAGGTTTACAGTACTGCTGGGTCGCGGCAGATTTACACCCTGTGACCCGGCAAACCTGATTCATTTGCGGGCAGAGCAAGATTCAGTCTTGTTCTGTGTTTACTCATGTAGTTAAAGCCCCTCGGGGCCTGGCCCGTGTTGCGGTAAGCAGGGTTACTGTGCAGGGCCCCGTTTAGGCAGTCACAGAGGCTTTCTTTTTAAAGAAGGTGTTTTCTAACTCCATTGAGGCTTTGTAATGGAAAAGAAAGGCAAGGGTGGACTTTTTGATAGTTCTGGCATGGTTTATAATTTTAGAATTGGATTCTTTTTAAGCTGTCCTTTCTTGAAATATCTGTGCAGTGACAGGTTTTCTTTGCCTGAATCTTACTGTTTTAGATTGTGGAAACAATCTAAGTGAAACAAAGATTTTATAGTTGGAAGAACTGGGCAAAAATATTAAGACATGAAAAGCATCCTCACCAACACAATTAAGTCAAAAGCCCTTTTGTTAAAACATATTTTCATTACTATGATTACTGACAATTTTCAAAAGCCTGATATTAGAACCGCAAGCAGGATCGAAATTAAGTTTTTGCAATTTGTCATCAGAGTGAAATAAAAAGGAAATTTGAAAAAGCACAGTTGTAAGAAAAGATGTGGATAAAATGCCTTTTGTCACGGTTGACTGAATGGTTGGGGTAATAGAGAGTTCTTACAGACCTGTATTGAAATGGGCAAATCAGAAAACAAAATACTGTTAACAGCAGGGGGTATGATTCACTTTACAAATCTGAGAAGTTATTTAAGCAGTTATTATTCTCATGTACTTTGACTTTGTGTAGGAATAATTGAACTGTCAAATAGGTGTGGCAGTGACATTTCTCCAGAGCTGCTGTACTACACTTTGATACTGATCCCCAAGTTGAGATTTAGAAACCATCACCCACAAAAAAAAGGTCTGTTCACTGTTTCAGTCATCAGGACAGTTTAAGACACAGAGTGGAAGGTGATGGTAAAATGTTTTTTGCAGTACTCTGTGTGTAACTTTTCAGATATAAATTACTTTGTTTTCAATACACTTAAGTATAGTCATGGGCAAAATACTTACCTTATGTAAGGTAGCATTGCTGTATTGAAATCAGTGTCATGTTCTTCCTTTACACCAGCTCACTTACATTTCTTTCAGTAAAACATTTTTATAACTGTAGTCATTGCATGGTTGTAGTTTCAGGTGTTAAATAGAAAAAGTCTTTTTCTGTCACAAGGTTAATGACTCACTGTAGTATAAAGTGAATAATACCCATTCCAAACCAGGGAACTTTTTTTGGTCAGAGAGTGCTTTTACAGTAACAGTTTGCATTCTGATTAATAACCCATTTTTAAATATGTTACATATAACTGTTTTTGGTCCTCAAACACAGACAGCTTCTGTTAATGATAGACAGACTTGCATGCTCTGGGAGACCTTGCTGTTCCAGCAGGGCTTTGATTTTTTGACATCTTTATATTCAGTTAAAGTATATCAGCCTCATTGGCGTAGTACTTGCTGTAAAAGGGTCCAAACCATCATTTTTCACTTCTGTTGTACATGAAGAGCAAATAACTCTGGTGTGAGGCATCACAAACTAATATTTTCACTTTATGATTTTTTCCCCTAAAGTTAGTTTCTCTGGCCTTCTCAGGTCAACATTGTAAATCAGCCTGAAATGTAAAAGCTATGATATTTATTTTCTGACTGAAATCTTTCCTACTCTACTTGAAATGTAAAATGCAAGTGATATGCTACAAATCTACTTTGCATTATGTGCTAGAATTTACTGACATTAATCAACAAAAATATAATACAGCACTACTGTAGGAAGATGCAGGTATAATATAATGAACATTAAAGTTTGGCATAAGTGAAAAAGAAAAAAAATTCTTATATCACACAGAGAAAACAAAGACATATTCTTTAATCTTGTAACAACTCAGAAGTCAAAATAGGTTATTGAGGAAACACATCTTCCTTTAATACACAAGATGGAATTAAAACACCTTCAAGTTACTGCCATGGGTATTCTGAGAAGACAGACTGTGAGCCTGTCATTCCCTCAAGTACAACCTTTTGTGGTGATATTTTTGGGAACAGGAGGTAAAAGTGTTGGTACCCAGAGAGGGTGTAAAGGGAAGGATGAAATAGTCAAACTGCCCTTCACTTTTGGCATGCTGTAGAAGTCTGCTTGTTTTACTTGAGCACAGAGTGAAATAGATAAACAATGTTTTGAGTTTAGCTTGTTTGTTTTCTTTAAATAGTTAGGGTTTTTTTTAACAGTTTTAAGATTTTGTTTGTTTTGCTTTATGGCACAGCCAGCAAATCGATGTTTGATAGTAATGCACATGTTCTAGATATTACTATTATTGGTAGTTGGTGTATTTTTAGTATGAAGTATTGACTGCCCTGTGTTTGCCCAGTTATGTCTATGTGGATATATCTATCTCTGAAAACACAGAAGATGAAGAGTTTACCAGGGTTTATTAGCCTGGTGAAGGGATTGTGTCAGTGGCCTAATATATATTAAAAGATGACTGATAAGATCTCTGGGATGTGGGGTGAATATGTGGAGAGGGGACAAGGGAAAGCTTCCTTATTTAGAGGGGATCACAGTACAGCCACTCTTTCCTAAGTACATGTTTACATGTGTGTCGGAGCTCATTAAAATCGTTCATTGCAGAGGAAAGTTCATCATTCTTGCTTTGTTAATAACTCACCAGTACAGTTTTCCATGCTCACTTGAAGCTTCTGTTGATGTCTGTATCTGTTTAGAGTGTGCCTAGAATGCAGAATCAGGTCCACTTGAAATACTTTGCATATAAATTAAGTTGCTTTGCTTCATTTAATTGTCTGATTTGGCTTTGTTGCAGTAGTGCAAATCCACTGATATGGGAGTTTTTTGGATTAACGGGGATATCTGGTACCAACTTTTTACCTTAGATTCAGCAATCTTATCCAAAATGCTGGTTTTAGTAATCTGTGTTTTGTAATGAGGCAAGAAAAATGTGAATTAGCCAAAAAAGGCTTTTTATTTTAGAAAGAAGACCAGTGGTAACTGCTTGAGTGGTGGAAAATTTTTTCAAGTCTAAAAAAAGTTACCCTTATTGAAAATGTATATCTAGTTCTATGAAGTGCTATAGCATGAAGAAGGTGTAACATTTCAATTAAATTATTTCTTCATTGCCTCCAAAATATGTGTGAAACCCAAAAAAGTTTTAGAAAAAGTTAATTACATACTTCTGTTTCCCTGTGGGGAACCTATGTTTTTGCTCTGTTAATGTTAGAGTATCATATTGCAGGTTAATGGTTATATACTGATTAATAATAGGTGCCACCATTTTCATTATGTCAAAGCTGTCCACCCATCCTTTTCCCTCAGAGGAATAACAGATGATTAGTCAG